GGCTCCGGCCGGGTGCCCGGGAGGGCCGGGGCTCACTCCCGCGCCGGGGGTGCAGGACCACCCGGGCCGGGGCTGCCTGCATTTCAGCACCGAGTAGAGGACAGCACCACGGGACCGGAGAACCCGAACGCCTCCCACCAGCCCCCTCGTTTTAATCCGAAACCTGAACCTTCTACTTTGGGAGCGTGCAGGGTGTCGCTGCTCAGTCTCTCTGCTTGCGACCTCTGCATCTCCCCGGGGGAGGAGGCCGCGGGGGAACCGCGGAATAAACACAGAAACCAGAGGAAGATGCGGAGAAAGCCCGGGGCTGGAGACAGACACTGGGAAAGCCACGTCTGGCTCAAGGTGACCTTTTCCTAAGAACCAGGAAGAACACCAAGGCCCCTCCCAGCCACACTTGTGCTTTCCTAACAAGGTTGAGAAAGATTCCCTGAGAGCAACCAGGAAATACCAACTCCTACCCCACCTCTGCTGTGTCCCGGTCCCCACGGCCCTGCTGCTCCCTACCTCCATTCTCGCGGTCCCCTGCCCACTGCCCGCGGTGCCGACCCACGTCTCCCTATCCCCCACTTCACCTTTGATGCTTTTCTTTCTCTTTTCCAGCTCAGCCCTCTGGGCCACCCCTGGACGCCCTCAAGCAGTCGGTGCAAACTCGCCTACCTGTTGGTTGCCCTGGGTGTGGGGCTGGGGTTGAGCAGGGAACTGCTAGCTTCCTCCTTTGCTTCCTTCTCTTCGGTCTCTAGCGCACTCCTGGGCTGGCGGGGAATATAAAGGGAGGAGAAGGGTGTGGTGAGATGACTGGGCGTGGAAAGGAACAGGCAGATACAGGTCTCCAGGCCCCACCTGTGTTTCCTCTCCTGGCCCCCTAACGCCGTGTAATCCAGAGTGCGAAGTGAGTGCTGCCCACCCCGCGGCAGGTCATCAGGGGATCTCCGCCTTCTTCCTGGTCCCCCTCCCCCCACAAAGTATGTACTGTACACTTTCAGATCTGAGAGGGCTTTGTTTCCACAGTGTGACTTGGGTGTGACTTGTCCTGGCAGGAGAGACAATGAATGGATGTTTGTTATGATAATTAACTCGATAAAGACTTTAAGTATATAAATAAATCTAACTAATGCCGGCAAAAAAAAAAAAAAAAAAGCATCTCCCAGGGTGGGGAGATGCTTCAGTGTGGAGAGTGAATTAAGGTGGTGTAGACACACCGTTTAGTCCCCTC